CCTTAGAACGGCCCGTTCTGGACCTTGGAACGGCCCGTTCCGATTCTGGAACGGCCCGTTCCGGGCCCAAAAAAAAAAAAACTTAATTTGTGCTTTTGGGCCCTCTAAAGTCCTGTCTTCTTGTCAGCATGTTTCGGGAGCTCCTTCCCTTCATAGTAGATGTCTATTTCATCACTTTTGTGAGTCCGGATAAAATTGATTATTCACACGATTGTTGCAAGTTTGGGTTTCAGTGATATTAACCCTGATTTATTTTCAAGAAAAATTTGATTTTTATTCATTATCAGTGTAAATTATTTTATATTTTCAATTAATTATAATTTATTATTCATAAGTAGTTATTATAATAATTATTAAACTGACCATCAAAGTTTAACTACACGAAAACTCAATGAATATTTTATAGGAATATCATTAACACAATTATATAAAAATATATATATATATATATATATATATATATATATAAAGGGACAGATAATTAAAAAATAAAAATATAAATAAAAAAATAAGTTTGGTATGATTAAGAGAAAAAATCGTTCTGATCGCAAAAAGTATCCTAAAATATAACCCCTCCTTATTTAAAATGGAAAATTTTGTATTTAATAAAAAAAAAAAGAGAATTTCGTGTCCTAAAAAATATTTTTTAATTTCATCTTAAATAATGTATTTTTAATTTTTTGAGTATTTTATTACAGTTATGTAATTTGTTTGCTTAAATTTTAATTGAACATTTTAGTTATTTAATATATTATAAAAAAATGATTTTAATTTTTTTATTAAATATTACTTTCCCCAAAAATATTTTTTTTTAATATATGACTTTACAGTTGTAATAATTTATTTTATTATTTATAATAAGGATAATTTTAAAAAAAATATGATAAAAATATAAAACTTTAATATAAATAACTAATTTTCTTAATATACGTGAAATTAATGTTTTTAAATTATAATAAAAAATAGATCAAGTATTATATTTATATGAGTTTAATGGCTATATACATTATCAATATAATTTTTTTTAACTAATTAACCAATTAGAAATTGTTATTGATGTAACTTTTTTTATAATTATTATAAAAAGTTAACAAAATATCTTATAAGATAGTTTATTATTGAATAATTATGTAAAAGTATCTTACATTATTAATACATTTTTTCTATTTTTTTTAAAGAATTGAAGTACTTGAAAAGGGTTTGAATCCTCTTCATTTCTTGTCCATTTTTTTTTATTTTATAATTTTGAGTGTATAAATTGTTAGAATACAAATCAAGTCTTGCATCGTTAAAATAAGAAGAGAAATAAGAATTTATAAAAACACATACATTCTAAAGTAGACAATATGTTATTATTGTGGAGTTGATGAGAGCATAAATATCTCTAATATTCCTATAAACAAATAAATATAACTCCTCTCTTGATAATATATCCCCATTAAATAAATTGACAAAATAATCCTAACATAAAATATCGATCAATTTTTTATAATTAATATTTAATGTTATTTATATATTTAAAATTATATAAATAGATAAGAAATAGAGATAAAGAAATGGAAAAGATTCCAATTCACTTGAAAATAACTTTACCTTTTATTTATAATTGGTTAATAATTAAAGTTTTATCAACCTGTTTAAAGAACAGGGCTATTAGTATTTACCAACTGCCTGAATTGCAGAAATAAAAAGTTCATAAAACAAGTCTTGAGATTCAATTCATCTTAAAAAAATTCATTAAATGTATAATATAAAAAACATCATTATTATTTTGTCTCTGCTTATAAAAATATGCTTGTATATCATAATTGGTGCACAAGATTGGAACCTTTTTTGGCATATTAGTAGCGTTGGCCGTTCCAAGTCCACACGGCGAAAGGTTATGTGATTTTGACCGCTAGTTACTCTTCTTTTCTTCTTTCGTGAATAGAGTGACCTAGTATCACCGCAACATTGTCCAATCAAAATTCATGTTTTACATTTTAATTAGACGTGCCATTTTCGTTGAATTAAAATTTGGCAATATCTTTTTCACAATAAATTATCTCTTCAATTCAAAATTGATTGATGGATATATTTCAACCATATGATATTTATGAGAGAAAAAAATATAAGTATAATAAATAATATTTTTTTAAAGGAGAAAAATAATATATATATCGACGAAAGTGTTTAAAATTGAAAAATATTCGTTAATCACTGTCTGTTTAAAATTTTTATATAATTATATTATGGATGAATTTATGTTTGTTTCTTTTTTCGTATTTAAGATACAATTATTCTAATAATGATGTCAATAAAAATTTGATGATTTTCAAAATGATAATAAATTTACGAATAAATTATTGTACATTTTAAAAAAAGAGATATAAAACAATGTTTTCAAAATATAATATGTTTTTATTTTTTACTTAAATTATAAATTCAGTTTCAGTCTTAAAAAATCTTATTTTTATCTTTTAATATAAAAGTAATTCGCTTCAAAGTTTTTATATTAATAATAATTATAATTAAGATTTAGCGACCGTTATAAACAATCACAAAAGATGTTTTGAGATTTGAAAGTGAAGTATTTTCAAATTAGAAGAATAAAAATAATTTTAAAAAACTAAATCAAATTTGAAAAATGTTAAAGGAATTTTTTATTATCATGATATGTGAAAATCAAATACGAGAGAAATCATTATCATTATTTTTTAAATATTAAATTTTTATATTAAAAATAAAATATTACTACCTTAGTTTTAAATGCTATGGTTGATAAATAGTTTTATCTCTTAAGTATGTAGTCAATAATTTATTTCTTGATTTATACATATGAAAAAATATTTATTAAAAAATATCAGCTTTATAATAGATTTTAAAAATCAATGTACTTCACTCTCTTCCCCTCTAATAGGGTAAATGGATCTCAATAATCATCTTCAAAGATTAGTTACTAACTTTTAACTAAGAGATACCTTAGTTTTCTTTAGTAAGCCAAAGCTAAGAAAACAAACAGAAAAAAGGAAGATTACATCCTACAGAACACTGTTCCAACTGCATCCGCCGTTACAAACGGGTGTAAACCCTCAGGCATGGTATCCAAAACTACTAGGTCAACACCACAATTTGGCCCTAATTTCGACAAAAAATCTGCACTTTAGTTTCCTTATCGAAGAGAATGGCAAACACAAACACTCCAAGATTGTTGCAGTAACTCCTTAATGTGAGCAATGATAGGAGCATACTTATGCAACACATCCAATGGTCCCAACACCAAATTGACTGCCAGTAACGAATCAGAAACACAAAGTATATTGCGAAAGTTAGCTCTCCATGCCAACTTCATACCATGTAGGATAGCTAATAACTCTGCTTTGAGATTGTCCCCAACTCCAGCATCCCCATAAAAACCCATAAGCCAACGACCAAAGTTGTCTCTACATAAACCTCCATAACCCGCCGGACCCGGGCTACCAAGCGCACTGCCATCCACATGCACCGTGACTTGCCCTTGGCTAGCTTGTAAGCATGTAACGTGATGCTCCTGTCGAGCCACCCTCTCCTGTGGTCCCCATAACGTTCTAAACAGAGATGACATAGCCTAAATACAACCAACCAAAACATGAGGGGGAAATATTATACCCGAAAAAACTCGATGGTTGCGTTCCATCCAAAGTTCCCATAATAAGCTAACAAGCATGACCCCAGGCTCGTCAATGTTAGCCTTCAACCATAAGAACCAATTGATTGTACCCCATTGTGGTAGAACCAAACCAGGGAACACAGATTGCCATAGCGACACAGTTACATCACAACCAAAGAAAATATGAAATCCATCCTCAACTGTTTTATGACAACATTGACACAAGGTGTCTAAACCCATGTGACGTGAGACGATAAACTGAGCAGAAGGGATGCACTCATGGGATAGCTGCCACAAAAAGAATTTTAGATTCTCTGGTATCTTGAGCCGCCAAATCTAACCCCACACCGAGTCATGGATGCCATCCTCCCGTGCCAATAGCCACTCATACCCCTCATAAGCCGTATATCTCCCTGACAATGCTCCGTTCCAGACCCAAACATCCAGTAAGGAATGATGAAGGGTCATGCTAAGCCCTTCAATACGTTGACGTAAAGTATCAGGGATAGGGGTATGAAGAATGTTCAAGATCCACTTCCCCTGTTGCAATACCTCACATACCTGAAGATTCACATCTCGAAAATGCACATAAGGGACATCTAAACAAAGTGCCGAGTTGCCCAACCAAACATCATACCAGAACCGCACGTGTCCGGCACCCTGCTGTAGTTGAAAACCATCATGCAATTGAGTATAGGTCTTGGCTAAAGCACTCCAAAAATTATAACCTTTCACATCTAGGCGATGTTATAACGTAGCACTAGGGTATTTATTTAGAACGAACTGCACCCATATCTTGTCCTCACGATGACCCACATCCCATAATAACTTTCCCATAAGAGCTATGTTTTGTAAACGAGCAATTCGGACACCTAGACCACCATGCCGTCGTGCTCTCGTAACTATATCCCAACGTGCAAGGTGGAGCTTACGTGTACCATCCCCACTCTAGATAAACTGACGTGCCTCCCTATCAAGCGCATCATAAATTGTTTGCGGCAACCACTGAAACTGCATCGTATAAGAAGGAATAGCAGCCACAACGGAGTTAACCAATGTTACCCTACCAGCTCGATTTAACAGTTTTCCCCTCCAAGAAGCTAGTCGTTGTGATACCTTGTCGATAATGTAATCAAAATGAGCCGACGTCACCCTACCATGCACCACGCGACAGCCCAAATACCTTCCTAGATTACCTGTTAACCGAATATGAGTAATATCTACTAAATTATGCTTTACTTGAGATGGTACACCAGCCGATACGTGACCTTTAGATTTTTCAGGATTAAAATGCAAACTTGAAACTGCGGAGAAACGCTCTAACAAATCAACCATAAACCGCACCTGGGAGGGCTTAGCCTTAACAAATAGTAAAATATCATCAGCAAAAAATAAGTGAGAAATAGAGATACCTTAGTTTAACAAAACATTCTTATTTATTTTTAATGTTGATTTTTAATTAAAATAATCAATAACAACATTCAAATTTGTATTTTCATTAAATGTGTTATGAAATTCTTTTTTAAAAAAATATTTGTAATTAAAATATTTTAAAAAATATATATTTGTTATTGATATTAAATATATAATGACTTTGTTGATGATTAATTTATACGAAAAAAATTGACTATATTTTTTCTTTTCGAATTAATCATCATAATACTTAAACTACTCGAAACCTTGCTTAAAAAATTGAGTTTAATTCTATTCAAATTAATACTTTTTTTATCAATCTTTTAAATTTCAATCCTATAGTCAACATTAAATCATTTCAAAGATAACTTTTAATATAGTTATTGCAATTGATAGTTTTTATATAAACATTAAATTTTAAAAATCTAAAAAATAATTTTAGAAAGAAAATTTACAAATTTTTATAAGATTTTAAAAATTTTAATTTTTGTATATTAATTTTAGAAAATAATTACACGACTAACCGATAAAAGAAAATATTATACATAATCATTTTTAATTAGACTACAATATAGAGTTTTTACAAAAACTTATAGATTGTTTACTTAAATTAAAAATTATTTAATATTTCATTTATTTCAATTCAACACAAAAAAATAATATAAAATAAACTGAAGGTAATGTATTTTTGTGTAATAGCAATTGTAGAGTACAAAATGTAAATAATGTTCCCTTATTAGGTAATGTAGTACTATACTACTAGCATCGTACGATCCCATACAGCTACAGCCTACACTCATTTAATTGCTTCACCCAAACACACTTATCCAAAACCTATCACTGCCTAGAGATCTCCCAGAGTTTCAAGTTTCAACCCACACCCATGGATGGGCACATGCAGGGCATGGGGGGGATGCAACCAGCGGCGCCTTCATCATCATCATCATCATCTAACAGCAGCATGAGCATGGGCATGGGCATGGGCATGATGATGCATGATAAGATGATGATGCACATGACGTTCTTCTGGGGGAAAGACACGGAGATTCTGTTCCACAAGTGGCCCGGGGGCAGAACCGGCATGTACGCGGTGGCCCTCGTCTTTGTCTTCGTGATGGCGCTTCTGGTCGAGTTGATCTCCTCAACCCGGTTCATCAAACCCGGTTCAAACCACGTGCTCGCCGGTCTCTTTAAAACGGTCTTGCACGTCCTCAGAGTGGGCCTCGCTTATTTGGTCATGCTGGCGCTCATGTCCTTCAACGGCGGTGTCTTCCTGGCCGCCCTCCTGGGCCACGCCTTGGGCTTTTTTCTCTCTGCCGTCGCTTTTAACAAACCCACCCAAGATTTGGGCTTTGATCTTCCCCCACTTTCTTGTTAATTATTTTCGCCCTTTTTTAATTACTAGTGACAGTTGCGTCATATTTTATATTCGATGTCAAATTGGGTTAAATTCTAGACGATTTGTGGTTAGTAATGTTGGCTTTGCGCCAAATTAGGAGGAATCTGGAATAGTTGTTTGTTCCGGGAATGGACGATGAAGACAAATATATATCTTTGGATTTGCGCTGGGATGAATTTGAATTCCCTTTTTCTATGTGTTTCAACCATGCTAGTTATTCTAAATTCAAGTTTTATTTAGTCTTTATTTTGTTTGAATAAAAGTTTGTAAACAATTTGTTGAATGATTAAAAACAAAAGTTTAAAAAATTTAAAGATTAAAAATATGTTTCATTCTTAAAAAACATAATAAAAAGAACATAAAAAACAAATTTTACAAGTAATCGAAAAATTATAATATTAATTTTTTTTCAATTGGTTGAAAGTACAATGTATCTCAACCCATAGTAATTTTTTTTGGGTGCAAATTGATAACAAAGAACTCATTTATGATCGAGCTTTCAACTCATATAGTTGCGTATGTAACTATTCCACTTATAATAACAACACGATGAATCATCCAACAGTCGCCTATTTATTACATTTTTATAACATTTAATTTTACATTTAATATCTTTTATTGATACATTATTTCTTATTACTAATGGGTTAATTAGTTGAATGATCCCATTAAATAAGTTCCATACAATGAACATGAAATATAATTCATTTGTTATGTATTATAAGTAAAATAACTATTTTTATATTAAATAAATTAATTATTTGTATTAAATTTTACTAATTTTATAACTTTTTTTTTTTAAAATTATCTTTGTTATAAATATATATATATAAATAATGTAATTGAAATATATTACATTAAAGAAAGAATATTTTAAGAAGAGTATCATTAATCATTAATTAAGATAAAAGTAATAAAAATTTACTTATATTTAAAAAAAATTGCTTATAATAGTGAACAGAGGAAATATTAATCTTTGAGAAATGTAACTAACATATTTTCTAACACTTTTCTTAAAATATACATTTTTATTAGTTAAAATTTATTAAAAATTATAAAATAAAAAAATTATTAAATAAGATATAAGATATATTAAATTTTGTATTTTTAATAAAATTTAATTAATAAAAATATATTTAAAAGAATATGTTACCAATATTTTCTCAATCTTTTGTCCACTATCGAAGATAAATTCTAAATGCCAAAAACACTGTGGTTCACAGTTGACAACAAATATGAACCGCTAGATTTTGTTTTCCTATCAGATTCAGCATTGCAACAAAATTTATCTCCTTTTTTTTAATTTCCTGTCTCTTTGTTCCCCTCTCCCTACTCCTCCATCCTGGACCTGAAGCCACCACTGCCACCAGTATTTTACATGCTCACACTCATCACACACCACCCTCTTCCCTTAATTGTTGTCAAAGACACAAAAACTCCCCCCGCCAAGACAACATCATCACCCTCACTTCTCTCAACATCAAGCAGTGAACCCCAATTCCATCCTCGCACGACCAAAAAAAACTCTAAAATGTGATGCTCTACAATTATTACCATTTTTCATATTTGGATCACGAACTGGAAAAATGATGGTCTCGATTGGCAATTTGTTGAGAAGATGGTGGAGAGCATGGGCAGCTGTTTTTAATCGAGATGATAGTATATAAATTGATCATATATTAAGATCTTGTGCACCTGCGTGTTCTAATGCTCAATAATAAAAAATAAATAAATTATGGTGCACAATTGTATTCTCCAACACAAGAATGAAATCCATCGTGGTAAGATTACGTCTCTTCCTCTTTTTACATGTTTCAATTACACTTCCTCGATGAAACTGTCAATTCAAATCAGCCCACAACATGCAAATAGATTATTAGGATAGCCCAATTTAATTGTAGGCTAACAATTTTGTAGCCCGAACTTAAGTTCTCATGGGCTGCATACCAATTAGGTTGCCCAACTTGTCCATAATTTTTTATAATTATTTTTTAGGAACATAAGTGACTAATATCAATTTTATTTTTTTAATATAAATTATTTTTGTAAAAAATAATTTTCCTAACATGTTATACTATTTTAATAACTCTTTTTTATTTTTCATTTTTTTTACAAAAGTAGGGACTAACACCCACAACACTTTTTTCATTAATGGAGAGACCATACTTATAATGATATCAATCGTCAAATAAATTGTGAAGAAATTACCTTTTTTTATGAGTAAAAATTACAAAAGACAAGTTAGAAATAAAAATTACAACCTCAAGTGTATCATTCTCATAACATTAAATACCAATAAATAAATAAAAGTTAGCTGAAGTAAACAACAAAAACATCATAATTGACATTAAAAAATTAACTTCTTTATAATCAAGTACCTAAATTTTGATTCAACTTTTCTTTCTCTTAAAATCATTAAAGGCTTTTAATCTTCTCCTTCCTCTCTTTCTCAATAGTCTTCTTTTTTAAAGATCTTTGTTCCTTTAGAGACTAAAATAAGTACCAAGTCAACATTTTTATTTACAATATTTTAATAAGTGTGTTAAATAATATTATAAAAAAAATTGTGTATTCACATGTTTATAAAATATTATGTCAATAACATTAGATATTATATTAATTTTTGTATCTTTTGAATATTTTACTTAAATAATATATCCTAAATGTATATAGTTGATATGTAAAGTAATATATTTACTAATATATATTATATTTTTAATTTAATAAACATATTGTATCTAATAAATATAATATTTAATGAATAAAATAAATAATACTATTTTTAAAAATGCTTTGCCATATATTTTGAAAATTATATTGAATTAATTACGTTAAATAAAATATTAATATTTGTGACTTTGTGTGTTTTACTTTTAAAAATTTGTTTACGTTAAAATATATTTTATTAACAATAATAATTAAAAAAAACTTCCATATTTTTTGAAGATTCAAGAAGAGAAGTAAAATATTTGAATACGAAAATATAAAAGAATTAAAACTTGTATATTTCTAGTAGTGTTTTTTATACAAGATTTTATTGCTTTTTCCTGTATGAACCCCGATGACTGAGAACTATATAGTAGAGTATTACACTTATCCCCAAATTAAGGGAGAAAAGAAGCCCAAAACAAAATTATATTTGTAATCCATAATATAACATTATCGAGTCATCATACAATCTATGTAAAAGAATTCCCCATACATTGATCCAGCCTGAAGTATGAAAACTAGGGGTTCATTTTCTTTATTCCTCTTGATTGAACCTTTCTTTCTTTCGTGACAGAAACTGCCAAGACAGCATTACTATATATCATGAATGAGTTAAAATTGAAAATGCACGTCTCTCCACAGTTGACTTCAATAGGTCCACTCTCGTGGCAGATTCATCTCATTCTGGATATGTGCTAGTTTGTTCCGTGATTCGCGCTTTTGTAGTGAATACATGCCATCCCTGTTACTCACTAAAACATCTGCAAACATTACAACAAAATACAAACTCACCAGTTGTTGCCACTATATTTTTGGATTTTAATGTGCAAACTGCACCAGTTTTCAAAAGCAAAATCGAACAACCTAATTCTTCCCCACTTTACTTATAAGACTTGCAATAATTGAAAAAAAATTGAATAATAATAATAGTAATAAATAATATAGTCTGGTTGTTGTAACATTTAATATTCTCACAGTTGATTAATTAAAGTCAACTATAAATGTTGATCAATAACTGTGATTTACGTGAATATGAAATTAAAACACAATTAAATCAAAGATGAAGCCAAGTATAACTGTTTTTTCTCCAAAAGAGTGTTGATCATTGTAGTACCATGTAAGGGAGGGAAGCCACCAACTTTGGGTCCGGAGGTGACAGCCATTTGCTCAAAGTGGAGCTGCAAAGCCTGTACTACTCTAGCGGGTATAAGAACCTTGGAGCAACCTTTACCTAATCAAATCACAAAGCATTAATTCGATGAAAGGTGTACAACAAAAACACATGATTCAGAAGCAAAGTGTCATTTGAGGATTCAAAATTGGTCCCTACTGTTTACTTTTATGTGTCAAAAAATATCTTTCATGATATATTGACATCTCATTTCAGCCAAAAGACAAAACCGAAAGTGTCAAACATGTGAACCACATAGAAGATGGATAAATTAGAGAAAATTCCGGTTGAAACAGTGAAGAATATTTGGTTAAACGAAGCACTCGGTCACAACATATGAAATGAGGTATGGTTGAGATTCCACGTCAGGAATCACCTAAGTCGAGGACCAGCGAACAAACAATATATGAAATGAGGTACAGTGAAGAATATATGAAATAATGACCCAAAACACGAAGCGACTGAAACACTACCAGATCTCTTACTTGACTCGGATGGGCCACTTGTTTCGCCACGTGGCAAGAAAACACCAGTCCCACAAGAAGTGCCTCTTGAACCAGCTTGCTGGTGTGAATGAGCGTGCCATGGTGGACGAGTCCTCCTGTTATCACACCCAACATCAACCCCTTTACCTTTCTTCTGCAATTGCTGTGATAGATTTTTCCCTCTATATGCTGTTAGTTTCTGCTTCTGAGACAGAATCTGCTCTTGCATCACCCGAGACAACTATAACGAGGAAACAAACAAGTTACAAGTGAAAACGATGTTGTTGGAAAATATATGTATGGTTCATTTTTTATATATAATATGTTTGAGTATGAAAAATAAGTGCATAAATTAATTTTATATCATAAGAGAATTTCAAAAGAAATATACAAAGGGTGCCATGACAATGTTACTGTTATCTCACATGCATAGCTCGAATTTGTTCCTGAAGGAGAGAGCAGACTCCAACCTTTGAGGTCTCCAACCTTTGGATCTCAGAACGAGGACGGAATTTGGAACTGTTCCTTTCGTTATGATTCATCTTCTCTAACATCTCCATCACGTCGTAAGTTTTGTCCCAACAAAAGTCATGGCTTTTAGGCCATGGTTCCTGAGAAGAACCTTCATTGTTCCGCTGAATTGAGTCCCATAGCTTCAGCACAAGAAACAAGTAAGAGCTAAAAACTAGATAAGCTAAAAAAAATAACACAATAGCATAAAATTACAAAAAAAAAAAAAAAGACAAATTAAAAAATTTAGAATAAATATATATTTTTTATTAAAATCCATTTTTTAGTTTCTATAATTTTAAAAATTTTGCTTTAGTCATAAGATACAATAATATAACTATCAGTAACAAATCTTGTGCTTCATTATTTCAGAAATTCATTAAAAATTTGATGATAAAAATTAAAAATAGGGACTTTAAATTTAAAGGATTATGATAAAATTCATGTTAAATTTAAAGCACTAAAAAAATGAATAAAAATGTTTGGAGTGGAAGTGATGAGAAGCAATGGGTGAGAAATAAAGAAATTTACCGAGTCCAAATGATGAGAAGCAATGGGTGAGAAATGGAAGTTGGTGTGGTCTTGAAGCATATCTATGGTGTGTGGAGTGTGAGGGGGAATAGGTATGATAAAAGCCTCGGAGGATGAGGATGAGGATGATGATGATGAATGGTAATGATGAGATAGGTGAGGTTGAGCTTTAATGAGTTGCGCGCAATTATGGTTGTCACCGGCGATCATTACTTTCATAAGGGAAGCAATTAGTGTGTGTTTTGGAACAGGGAAGGCCAAGAATGGTACGAGGATAGTGTCTGTTGGATGTTCTGATCGGAGGAGACCTTAATTTCAAGTTTCAAGCCCAAATTGGCTGCCTTTTATTAGTTGGACTCTACTTTAAACCACCTGTGCCTCTTACCTGCCATTTGTTGCCTTTAGTTAAACTTCCCCTACTTCAATAGTATTAAAATGTAGCCTAGATTTTTTTGCTGACTCATATTTTTAAAGTATGAATTTGATTTGTTGAATCTGAAAATTTTGTTGATTCCTAATTTATAAATATCTATATAAATTTTCATAGAGCCTTAATAATTGTTTTGACTTTAATAAGTTTTTAAGATTCAACTCAATTAAACTTTTTAAAAAAATAAAATGCACTGCAATGAATAATTTAAAAATAACTTATTAATTTATTTGCAAAACGTTAGGACAAGTCCTTAACTTATGAGTTATGTACCGCATTAATTAATAATTAATTAATATGATCCCCACTATTAAATTTCCAAAACCTCGTTTTGCATTAATTAATAAGAACCCTTATAAATGCCTACATAAAGTACTAGGAAGGAGTAGAGATGAATTTGCAGGCCATGTTTGCTACCAATTCACTTAATTGGGGACTCGTGGGAGTTTATATTTTAAAAATAATTAAATCATTCAATCCAAGTTGTAAGATGTTAGTGTAATAGATAGATAAACAAACACTACCTCTTCAGCTATAATTTCCCTTTATGCTCAAGATCTCTCTCTACACTCATTAAGAAATATTTAAATATTTAATACTAAAATGTTAAGTTTGAAGCATTTTTATTTAATATTTTTAACAAGAGTAATTATGTAGTAAGAATAATTATGGTCAAATATGGATATATGTGAAAAAAATTGATTAATAATATGTAATCCACTTCTTATTATAAGACCCAAAATTTTAAATTAGTTTGATATTTCATACATTATTTTTTTTCCATTACCAAAATATCGTTATTAAATGTATATATTGAATTCAAAAAACAAGTGAAATTTTTTTAATTTATATTTTTTAAAATACAAATTATTTCATTTTTTGTTCTCAAAATGGAAAAACTTTGGAAATAAATAAAAATTTAATACATATTACTGATCTTAATAAAATAAAATAAAAATCCAACTTTTCTTAATCTTAGAAAATTAATTATTTCAGCACTGTAATAAGGAACGAAAGTCATATTACTTGATATCTGTGAGAAAAAAAATCAAATCCTAATTGAGTGTTTATAAAACAAAATATAATTTGTATATTTATTATAATTTAAATTATTAATATTAAAGATGTAAATAAAAATTGTTTGGATTAAAGTTGTATGGAGTATGGAGTATGATTACATTTAATATTTGAAGAAAAAGAAAATCTGAAATTGGGATTTTATTTTGACATTTGGCATGATGGGAAGAGCGCGTCATCAAAATTGGATTGTTCCCCATAAAGGCCCCACCTCAGATTGGAGGGTTTGGTGGAACTCAGCAATTGAATCGGAAACGATGAGCAGTGATAGGAATATTGGGGTGGCCTTGGACTTCTCCAAGGGAAGCAAAATCGCTCTCAAATGGGCTTTTGACAATCTTCTCCGCAGCGGTGACACACTCTATATCATTCACATCAACCATTCCGAAGCTAGCAAATCCCGAAACCCTCTCTGGTCCACCTCCGGTTCACGTAAGCTCCTTCTTTTAACTATGCCCTTTTCAACAAAATCCTCTTTTTTTGCCTCTATCGTCTTCGATCTTCCAATTCTCATTACGGTGATGATGTGGGTGTGTGGGCGAAGCTCTCATTCCGTTGCCAGAGTTTCGTGAGAAGGAGGTGATGCACCATTATGAGGTCGATACTGATCCCGAGGTCTTGGACATACTTGACACCGCTTCTAGGCAGAAACAGGTTTTTTTACCTTTACCGATTACTAGTTTACTACCTTATCCTGTGTTGTTGGATTGGGTTTTTACGTTTTTTGTTTTATTTAATTGATGTTATTTTAGTTGCACCGTGTTGAGTTTGACTGAACTGGCCTTGAATACAGGTCACTGTGGTGGCAAAGCTATACTGGGGGGATGCAAGAGACAAAATTTGTGAATCTATTGGGGATTTGAAGCTTCACTCTTTGGTCATGGGTAGCAGAGGCCTTGGCCCCATACAAAGGTCTTTCTTTTCCTTTTTATCCTGAAGCCCTCTATTCTACAGATAATAAGTACATGTTTCAACACAACATTTTGTCCCATGTTAATTGCATCTTACCTCAAGCTTTGGTTTTAGTGTTAGTCTTGATTCCCCTCCAAAGATGAGGGACTTGATTGGATTTCACATTACTTAATGATCAGGATGGATGTGTTGGATGAAAAGGAGGAAGGATACAATTTTTATCTTTAATAAACATTCTCTAGTTTAATAAAATTTACCAAAAAGTAAATAAATAAATTTAACATGGAAATGGGCAGTTATATACGAACACCATAACCTACACTCTATTAACACTTATCAGTTCTCACTATTTTTCTCTTCTTATAACATCTTATACCTGTCATTGCTACACTTCTCTGTTTCCCTCTCCAGGTGTTATCTAGCATGTGGTGTCCATGCATAATTTTCCATTAAGGAATTGAACCATACAAATTATAAAATTGTATTGATCAACATTGTTAAATATTTGTTGATGCTGTTTAATTTAATTGCTTGATTGAAGGGTATTGCTGGGGAGTGTGACCAGTTATGTGACCACAAATGCGAGTTGCCCTGTAACGATTGTGAAAGAGTCTGTCCCTTCTACTATCTGATAGGCTTCTGGATTTCGGTAGGTTGTGCCATCTTCATCGGTGACCAGACTGTGTTTCCCTCTGTTCTTGTATCGTATACATGTTTAGTTCGGATAAGGAACACACTTGATGGCTAAGGATTCGTCAAGAGATTCATTAAATAAGTACCAGTAGAATATAATTTGTTACTTATGAATTTCAGTTAATGAGATATCCATCAAAATTTATAATTTTAATAAATTAAAGTAAATAATAATAAAAATGTTAAAAGAGTGAGATTTAAAGAGAACAGTACTTACTAACACTCAGTTTTCAACTATTTTACAAAAACTCATATTTAATATGTGGCTATGTGCAGTGCATATCGTAAGTTTTTATTTAGTATAATTAAATTTTAAAATAAATAAATATTTTGAATATGAAAATTATATTATTATTAAGATTTGTAATATGTAAATATTTTATTATGTAAATTACGTTTTATATCTATGTTAAATAATTTATTTTATGAAAGTTTTGTTTAACTATTGATTAATTCTTTTTAAAAAATTGAAATTTAATTTAGAAATGAAAATAATAATGATGAATTATAAGCTATATGAAAAAATATCAAGAAACACTATCCTAAAAGATAAATAACTAAAAACACTTTAATTAAATAGTAGTCCTTAAAAATATTTTTGTTGAAGATTATTATATATATATATATATATATATATATATGATTTATAATAAATAAATATTTTTTGCATATATAAATTATTGTAATTGAAATTTGTCATAGATAAATACTTTTTACTATATAAATCATATTTTAAATTTATAATAAATAATTTATATTGTGATATAAAGTTATTTTTAATTATTGATAATTTTAAACAATATTAAATTTTAATTTAAAATTAAATTAAAGTGATTCAAGTTTTATGCATAATTTTTTTTTTACACTCGTAAAAATTTGTTATTACGTAGTTAAACCACAACTCAATTGAATTATTATATTGACTTGATAGCGGGAGTTAGAGTATTATATATAATATTTATTTATTTTTTATAAACATGATTTGTATAATATTTTAATCTTTGATAAATAAGGATTAATTTATACTTACATGATACGTAATTTCTGTTTGTTAAATAATATCTAAGAGTCATGAAAATTAATCATGGGAGTATTTTAGATTTGAAGTTTGAACACTTTTATTGTTATAGTAATTTTTACCGAAATAAAAAAACACCAATTCAATTTTCCACCTAAATTTGAAGGTTTTTTTTTTCCTCTGCACGCCTATAATTAACAAAAAATGAAAACAAGCTCATGTAAATAGAAAAATGTTAATCTTAAATTTTATTAAATTAATAACTTAATTATTTTTACAAGTTTTCATTAATTATAAAATTCATAATGATATTCAAGATTTTCTAACATTGTGTTTAACTAGGAGGAGAGATAGGTAAGAAATAAAATAAGAAAAAATAGAAGAGAGAGAAATAAATAAATAAAAATAGGTAAGAAATATAATAAAAATGAATTTGTTTGGATTAAGAGAAATAGATAAGAAATAAAAGAAAAATAATATTATAAAGTTGTTTTGTTTGAATGAATGAATGGAAAACAAATTATAAATGAAGATTAGTTATTATTTTATCATTTCAAAATTAATTTACTAGGATTAATTTTTTATAATCGAATGAAAATTGTTATAATGGAATATAGTGAAACTCGTATTCAAATAAACAATAATAGACATTTGAATGCAAATCAGACATATTTGACACAAATCAAGTACAATTGGATAAAATTCAGCCACAATCAAATACAAACCAAATATATTTGAATACAACAAATAACATTTAAACCAAATATATTTGAATACAACAAATAACATTTAAATAAGTAACATATATAATCGAATAAAACAAAGTTACAATTGATTATGAGATGACGTTTTACATATTATATTTATGTTCATAATCGATTAAACAAAAATTTAGTTGATTATGGGGTCTAAAAACCTTGGGATCAACCATCAAAGAGGGGCAATAAGGTCATGTGTGGGTTTACACATTTGTATAACCATTTCTCGCATATTTCTCTACTAAATTACAAAGAAATAAAAAGTATATGGGATCCACACCTCTTCCCATTTCTCATCAGAAATTTTCATGTGAAATAGACAAGTAAAGTTATTTCTCACTCCTAGTTTCATGCTCTCTTCACTATATTGACGTCATTTATGTCAACCAAATGGAGCGTAAAAGAATTCAATTACAAAATTAATATTTTATAAATAGAATTATTTTTGACAAACAAAATGGTTTTAATTTTAAATATTATTATTAACAGGACTTTTTAACACTAATCAAAATTTAATATTTTTTAAAAGAATTTACTCTTATATTATACATTAGAATATATAATTTTTTTTTATACCATTAGAATATACAATTTTATTCGATCTAGATAGTAATTTTTTCTCTCTCAAATTGACATTATCAATAATCAATAATAATGAATAATTAATAATAATGCAAAAGAGGCACTCCTATCACTTCGTATTTTGTTTAAGAATGAAATAATAAAATTTAAATAGTGGGTCATTTACAATTAAAGAGAGTAAATAGTTAATTGAAAGTAATTAGAAGGGTAAAATAAGAAATAAATTTATATACTAAAATCATATATTCCCTTGTATATTGTTTAAATTCAATCATGACTTTTAAATTATTTCCGTTTTAGAATTATTATGAAGTAGTGAAGAGTTTGAGTTTTTAGAATTATTATGAAGTAGTGAAGAGTTTGAGTAGTACGCACATTATTTTAGATTCAAATCATAGTGTCATCATTTACAATTCTAATAGATAAATCAAATCCCTTAAAAAAAAGATAAAAACAAATATTTTTCCTTTTACTCATTTGTATATTATACATTTTTTTATTCTTTTCATTTTTTTTAAATTAAATGATAATATCTTTAAAATTAACAGAACTTAAAAATATTTTTACTAACATTTAAATAGTTTACTGTAAATTTAAAATATAGTTGTAAAATATAAATTGATTAAAATTTAGATCTATGTTTAAAAAATGTTAGATTAAGAATTAATACCATCCCCACTTGAGTGATTGAAACTTTTATGATATCTAGAAGTCTCGGGATAAAATATCCTAATTCTAATCGTGGCCCAAAAAGAAAATGCAAATAGGAAAAAAAAAATTTATGAAGCTTTTATCACGTGTTCTCAAATATTAAAGTCTCAAATTTGAGTTTTAATTTTGATAATAAAAAAATAATGTTAAAAAGAATAATCTTGATGTAGTTAAAATTTTGAGAGAATATTTTTTTTACGAAACTGATAGATATTTTTAGGTTAAAACCTTTATTTGGTTCCTGATAACATTTTTTTGTTTCAATTTAGTCTCATTTTAATTTTTTGTCTCAATTTGGTCCCCGATAATTTAAATCGTTGCAATTTGGGATTTCCGTCCAAATGATTTAAACGAAGTTAACTATTAGTCACGTAGATGCCACGTGGATGCCATGTAGATGCATAGGTACACGCCAAATTGCATGAATGCACCTGGAACCAGAACGACCCGTTTTGAAACCAGAACAGACCGTTCTGCTTGCACATGGTATGTGTTAATTTTGCAACCGGAACGGGCCGTTCCAAATGCAAATTTCACACATCATGAGTGCATTAGAAAGAGCCGTTCTGAAACCAGAACGCCCCGTTCTGGTTTTAGAAAGGGCCGTTATGGATTGAGAACGAGCCGTTCTAGATTCAGAACGGCCCTTTCCAGAAAGCCAACTTCATGCATGCGTTGACAAAAATGCTGCAATGTGATTCAAAAATTGAAAATAAAAATTCATAACATATCATAAATTCAAAGACAGAAACATGATTCAGAAACTGAAAACAAAAATTTAGAACATAACATATACTAAAAAAGTTCAAAGAAATTACTGAGAAAGGAAATGATCGGGTAACGCTCAATGGAAAACACCGTTTTGTTTCATCCTTGATTGTATAGTGTCAATTTGTAGTAAATGGTTCACTCCAGTTTGACTAACAATGAAATAAAATCTGCTATCATTGTCTTTAGTAATATACTGCATTGTCCTTAATGATACATTGTATAGCCCAACTGTTTAGCAATTGAAGTTATCAATTTTCATTGACAATATTACCAAATTCAGTGTTTGAAATGCTTTGTACCTTGGGTCTTTTTTCTTTCACGATTCATAACCGTAAACTATAATCAGTGACCATTCGTGTGTGGTATTCTAGAACTAGAACGGCCCGTTCTGGTTGCACTCTTAATATGTTAATTTTGCACCTGGAATGGGCCGGTCCGGATGCAAAATTAACACACTAAGAGTGCATCTAGAACCACCCGTTTTGGTTTCAGAACGGCCCGTTCTGGTTCCAGGTTTTTTCATAAAATTTGGCGTCCACGTGACATCCACGTTGGCAACAGTTAACTCCGTTTAAATCATTTGGACGGAAGTCCCAAATTGCAATAATTTAAATTATTGAAGACCAAATTGAGACAAAAAATTAAAGTGAGACTAAATTAAAACAAACAAAAAATGTTATCGGGGACCAAATAAAGGTTTTAACCATATTTTTATCAATAGCATAATGCAAAAAAAAAAAAAATCCATCACATGAAATAGTGACTAATTTAATATTTATAAAAAGATATGTTATGTATTAAAATATATATTTATTATAATTATTTTATAAAAATCATTAATATTGAAGATATAAATTGATTGATATAAAATTATAGAGTATTTGTTTACGAGCAAGTTATTAATATAAAATATTTATAGTTTTGTCATAATCAATTATTGAGAAATCTAATTAGTTATTTTAATAAAAATTTTACTCTTAATCATATTGATCTTATTCATAGACTCGATCTCAAAACTATCTTAATAATAACGGCTAGTTCAAAGAAGCTTTTTATAAATATTTTGTAAAATGTAAGAAAATATTTGAAATAAACTTTCCATAAGTGGAGTTAAAACTAAAATTAAAAAAAATTAATAAGATAAAACTACTAGAATTCTTTTTGGTATATAGAATTTTTACAAATTAATTTATGTATAAATTAATTTTATATTATAGAAAAATTATTTTACTTTTTATCTTTATTTATTCTCTTAAAAATATTATCAAATATGTTTAATTATAACTAATTTTTTTTTGGTAAAATTGACTCAATGTTCTTATATTTGGTTTTTGTGTGTCAAAATAATATATATCCAATAAAAATCACATCACATAAAAATAAATTTATCTTTAATTATTAATTCAAAGAAAAATCATGTCCAAAATATTTTACTTATGCATAACAAAAGCTATATGCTATATGAAGTATGATCGCATTTAATAATGAATAAATGTCTATTTTGGTCTTTAGTGATTTTGGTTTCAAATATCTAAATATTATTATTTTAGATTTATTTTATATTTTAGATGGATATAATTGTAAATTGAGAGTTTGACACGCGGAGAAGCAGTAGAAAGAAACGAAATTAAAATAGGAATAGGAATTTTGGTCGGTGGGTAAAACCCTACCTTAGAATCAAGCTTTGTTTGCAAAGGTGAGTGGTGGAGGGTTTGTTGAAACTCAGCTATTGAATCAGAAACGATGAGCAGTGGAAGGAATATTGGGGTGGCCTTGGATTTCTCCAAGGGAAGCAAGAGTGCTCTCAAATGGGCTCTTGAGAATCTTCTCCGCGACGGTGACACCCTCTATATCATCCACATCAAACCTTCTCAAGCCAGTGAATCCCGAAATCTTCTCTGGTCCACCACCGGTTCACGTAAGCTCCTTCTTTTAATTATGCCCTTTTCAACAAAATCCTCTTTTTTTGCCTCTATCGTCTTCGATCTTCCAATTCTGATTATGGTGATGATGTGGGTGTGTGGGCGAAGCTCTCATTCCCTTGTCAGAGTTTCGTGAGAAGGATGTGATGCACCATTATGAGGTCGATACTGATCCCGAGGTTTTGGACATACTTGACACCGCTTCTAGGCAGAAACAGGTTTTGGTTCTTTTACCTTTACCAATTACTAATTATTACTCTCTGTTGTTGGACTTGGTTTTTTTTTGTTTTCATTTATGATGTTATTTTAGTTGCATCATGTTGCCTTGAATACAGGTTACTGTGGTGGCAAAGCTATACTGGGGTGATGCAAGAGACAAAGTTTGTGAAGCCGTTGGTGATTTGAAGCTTCACTCTTTGGTCATGGGTAGCAGAGGCCTCGGCGCAATACAGAGGTCTTTCTGCTTTAATAAAGTTTAAAACTGAAAATTGATAAATAAAAATATATTTAACATGCAAAATTGCATTAAAACTTATCATTTCTGTTTCTATAACATAATCATTGTTATATTACCTATTATACCTATACTCCTCTCCAGGTGTTATCTAGCATGTGGTGCCCTTGCATGATTTTCTAATTAGAAAATGAATCTTTGTTGATGCTGTTTATATTAATTGCTTGATTGTAGGGTATTGCTGGGGAGTGTGACCAGTTATGTTGTCACAAATGCGAATTGCCCTGTAACGATTGTGAAAGATATCTGATATGCTACTGAATTTGGTTGGCCTTTCAATCGGTTGTTCCATCTTCATCAGTGACTAGATTGTGTTTCCCTTCGTTCTAATTTCTTATACATGTTTAGTTTCGGATAATGAACACACTTGATGACTAAGGATTCGCCAAGCATAATGTATAGTTTTGGGAGTCTCTTAAGTGCTTGGTTATAGCCAAAAGTGTGCATCATAAATAAGCTCTGTGGTGGATATGTTTCAAACTTATAGGGCATGTGATGTATTGTGTGTTTGAGATATACTTTAAAAAGTTAAGTTGAGTTGAACTTAACTTAAACTTAAAAAGTTTAATTAAAAATAGATTTAAGTTAACTTGATTCATGTTTGAATATTAAAAGTATTTTTATCAAAAGAAAATTTGTTTGAATGATAATAATTAAAAGTATTTTCAAATATGTATTTATTAAAATGGGTATGAATTTTATAATATAATATGAATGCTATTTATTTCATTATTTTTTAGGTATATTTGAATTGATAATATATTATTATTAATAAAAAATGATGATAATATTATAAATTAAATTATAAATTATGTTAAAATATTTTCATGACAATATTGATTAAACTATAATAAAATAAATAAAGATAAACAACAATTAAATATATATTCTTTGTATTCAAATATAACATACAACAAATATAAATACATGACTAGTTAAGTTGACATATAGTTTCTAATTTGATCTTGGATTGAGTTTAGAACAAGATTTATCTCTATTGAAAACTTTTCAATTAAAAGTAAGGGTTGTTCTTCACCAATATGATCATCATTTTCATGCTCTATATTTTCATTTTGTAGAAATTCAAATTCAGATTAAGATTAGCTTCTAATAAAATCATTTATAGTCATTGTTGTAACAATTGGTTGAACTTGTGTTTCAAATTTGAACTTATAGGCATGTGACATAAAATTGCAAATCTATTCTTGCATATCCTAAAAGTCCTTTTTATTGTGTACCTCATCTAAATGGTAATAATTAAACACCTTATTGTATGTTGAAATTCTAAGTGATAATGTTCATATTTATACGGGCATTATATCTTATTGGTGTTGGGTAACCAACATCAATCAAATAATATTTACTTAATAAAAAATAAAATTATCATCATGTAAATTATGAGTTCATTAACATATAGATAAATTTTAATTATCATAAACATTTACCAAAAGGTGGATGTGGAAAATTCATGAAAGGAGTTGTTAAGGCATTCTCAAATACATGGACATTATGTGAAGTATCTTCCTATCGTGATAATGCAAATGTGAAACACATGTTCCAATTACACACAATCATTACATTGTGCTGAATGTTCCTTTCTTCCAATAAATTTTTATTGTTCACTAGGATTAATCATGTATAAAATATGAGTACCATCAATTGCTCCTATAGTATCCTTGTAAAATGATCAATATTGTCATTTGTGTTGAATTTTTTTATGGACATTATAAAACCTAGAATCTTGTGGCTTGATGTATTTAAAGGCAAATCTAAGACATGCAACTAATACTTGATGGAAATACCTACTTATAGTTTCTCCTAAATATTGAAACCTTTCTTGTATCATCCTATTGTCTACCTCATGACCAACCATGTTTTAAAAACATTGCAACCATTTCTTGAATACTCATTTGTTTAGTTCCTTTTACACCATGTTCAACCAGTTCAATACAAAGTTGATTAAATACATGTTTTTTTATTTGAAACATATCATAATAGCGGATAGGATGTTCATTCAAAATGTCTTGCACTCAACCTATTTGTTGATTAATTCTACATTACTTATGCAATAAATGGTAAAAATGTTAAGGTAAAAATTGTTTGAGATGTCAAGGTAATTAAAATTTATATTAAAGTATACTTGGAAAAAGTGTATAAAAGAGGAGAAAATGGAACTACCCTTACTAAGAAGGGGTGGAAAAAGTTGTTGAACTGCTTTCGAAATATTTAATGACCTGTTTATGTTGATTTTTAGCGAGATGGTTTTCGAAATATTTAATGTAGTTATACTGTTCTTAGCACTCGCTTCTTGTGTTTGAAAAATCGAAATCAGTAGTTTATCCAAACAAATCATAGTATCCGTTGCAGAAAGTCTAATGCTATTTCTCTTCCCTTCTGTTTATCTCCTTTCTTGGTTTTTTCATGATTTTTTTTTTCTTTTTATTAATTGTCTCCGGTGAATAGACATTTGATTATTAAAATCCTCAACAAAAGGATTGCAATCACCTAATTGAATGTCTTTGGAGAGAAACCCTTGGAGGTCATCCTATACAATTAAATAAAAAGTACAAAATATATGATGAGTTACGTACCTAAAAATATTACTAGAGAAGATATTATGATAAATATATTTAATAAAACGTGACATGAAATCTGTAAATGGAAATAAATTGTTAAGGTAAAGTATAATGCTTACTAATAATTATAAAATAATAAAAGCTGACAACTATTCATTACTTTGGAATAAATATTTCATATCATGTTTTATCGTAAAAAAATTAAAAATATCGATCTCTTAACCAACGTGTTAACATATTGTTTTAAATGTTTATCACACGCATATAATTTTATAATCCAACTTGATTTTTTTTTAAAAAAAATTGTAAAACTGATTGAAAAAACTAACAAATCTTACAAAAATGAGAGGAAGAAACATTAATATTTATTATATGATTTATTCAATTATTAAATTATTTAAATAGAAAGTTAGTTATTAAAAAAAGAATATTGATGAATGAAAAATAATATCCCCCTATGTTAAACTTAAACAGAAGGGTCAAAGGGTCAAAGGCCCAGTGTGTAAGATAAATTGGATAAATTAGTAATAATTGGAAATGTGAAGTGTCGTTGTAGTATAGTGGTAAGTATTCCCGCCTGTCACGCGGGTGACCCGGGTTCGATCCCCGGCAACGGCGAGTTTTTAATGAATTTTAATTTTTTGGTCTTCATTCATCATTCCCTTTCTATTTTCAGCATTTATTGGTTGGAAACAGAAGCTTGTATGGTAAAACATTGGCTGAGGCTGAGGCTGAGGCTGAGCATGAGCATCATCGTATATTCATACAAAATGCTGTCTTCCTTCTTGAATTTGGGTCCATCGAGGAATATGTCTGACGTGGCGTCACGCAATGAAGAAGAAGCCACCACAACGACACGGTTTCGGCTTTTGGGTCGGTGGTGGGATGCGTGTTTTTGGTGATGTCTCTGGTGAACTTGGTTCAGATCAAGTTGGGAACGTTTGCTTGTGGTAGTCCTCATACTTACGCTGCTGTTCTTCCCATCTTTATTCTTGTTCCCTCTGCGCTTCTTATCTACGTTGTTCTCCTTTTCTATGCTTTACTCGTTAATACTTCTACTACTCAACCTTAACCTTATTATTATACTCATAAACAAATTCAACTTACTCCATCATTTTATGTGTCGTCCAAGTGTATCCATCGTAGGAAAGGCTCCATGAAATCAAGAGGCCTGCTAGCCTCCAATCTCCATAGTCGTTATTCTTTTTTATTATTGTTATTTTTGGCTAGGAAATTGTATTGTTCAAATTTTATATATTGGATATATATATGAAATATGATATACATTATTTTTTTTATTTGGCATTGTGAACGTAGAAGCCTGCATGCAGCTTGCTGAAAAATTGCTTCCTCTTGTGTTTGGTTGGGAGGGACGTACATGGAGAATTAAATCATTAATGTTAATTACTTTTTGCCAAGTGTCTCTTCCCATGTTGCTAGTCAATGAAATAACTTGGTTTTTACTAAATTTAGAGGAAGAGGATATACAATTACTCACTCCTTGAGATAGGAAATTTTTCCACAAATTTGGAATTGTAATGTGCATGTGTATAAGACCGAAGGATTCAGGGGGAGAAAGGGCAAGTACATATTTTTTGTGTTTTAGATTCGGGCAACTTCCAAGTGTTTTTTATGACGTATTCCATACCATAATATTTTGGTGTCCACTGTTGAATTCAGTGAAACTCTTTCTGATTGGTGGACGATTTTTCATTAGGATGCAGACTTAAAAAGAATATTGCAAGTCCGACCAACTATTCTGGTGAAAAACCCTTTGTTCCAAGTTATGGAGTTAAAGAAATAAAAACAAGGTCATTTAGAGTGACCATATCCACTAGAGGTAGTTGACAAAGACGTTTTTTTTGTGGTAGTATAATTCTTTAGACATATAGTCCAGCTAAGTTCTCAATATCCATCCTCTTATTATTATTTTTTTTTCTTACTTTTCTTTATGGGATTAAATTTCTTGTTAGTTTCAAAAGGATGATAATGCGAGGAAAAATATTTTTAAAAAAATGCACTATAAAAAAAAATTAAAAATAATATGAATTTTTTTTTCCTGATGATGATTTGATCGTGTTAAATATAAGTTTTCAATTTCAATTTGCAATTGCGCTATTAGATTGATGTTATGCAATTGATTGACTAAATGTGTTGGCTTAAGCTCATGTGCTAATTCAAATACGCCTGAACGTTAATTGTTATATTGAATGGGTATTTCACTAATAACCAATTTTTAATTTGGCATGCTAGTCATGTTTTCAAGTTTAGCTTCTTTTTTTTTATTTAAAAAAATGTTAGTGGCAATTGTATTTGATTCGTGATTAATGTTTGATACATTCCTTTTAAAAAAAAATATATTTGATACATTCAAGATGATTTCAATTGTATCCTTAATGGCCATTAATTTCAATTAATGGTGATTAATGGTTTGATTTCTGTGTTAAAATAATGTGTTATAAAAAATAAAAATAAAAAAAAACGCTCTAGCATATGCAAATTAATTCTTGACTATTAACTTTGATATATGTAAAGACTATGTTTATTTACACAAGAAAAATGCATTCAACTTATACACGATTCTCTTTCAAATTTTTTAATTTGATATGTTCTATTGAAAGATTATTGAAATAAATTAAAAAAAATATTATTCAACTTATCAATAGAGTTTACTTAACTGGTTTATTTTTAAGTTAGATAAAAAAAATTAGTTGATAAAATTAATTTTGATTTGTTTCCATAATAAGGATGCATGTTCAAATTAATTACAGCTATAAATTTATTTAGAAACTTGTTTAAACGAGCATGAAATGAAAATTGATTGCATTAATTGATTTTAAATTTCGTGCTAAATTTAATGTTACAACTTACAGTAGTTCTGACACGAATAGAATCATATTCTTTCCATTGAAATACAACTTGCAATAGTTAGTAATTTGAAAAAAAAAAAAAAAGACTTATAACTTTTCATTCGATTTTTTATTTCAAGTTATACTTGATATATTTGATTGCATTATTTGCTTTAAATTTTGGAATAAATAGTAAGACAATATTTTAAGAAAAATCATATCACAAGTCATCTTTTTAAGTTTTTAATTCAGGTTTTATGGTAAACATTTTTTTTATTTATCATGTTAAACATAATTGAGAGCTTTTAAAAAATTTAATGCAATTGAAAAAAATTAATACCTTGTTTTTATGGAAAATGCTAAAAACGGTTGTTAAGGAATAATTTCTATTAAAAAGTTTATTTGTGATGTAAATGAGGCTTTATTAGCGCTATATAACAATGTATTATTTTGCTGGTTGCATTTGACTATTAACGGTGTTTTTGAATAATAATTTACACGTTCTAACTTATAAGCGGACGTCTACAATGGACAAACGTGAAAACAATCATGCACAATTTTCTTTGAAGGATACCCCAACAAGACTTGTCAAATATTTTTTTACAACATAAAAGTTTTCAAATATTATGTCTGAAACCAACAACTAATAAATATAAACAATGTAAATGGGTAAGTATAATAAGGATACAATATCAACTCAACTCTTATGTTTGTCAATTGTAATTTCTATGGGTTAAAAAAATAAATATACTCAACTCCCCCATTCCTCCCTCACCTTCTTCATCCAAGGCAACATACATCCATCATTAGACAGTAGGGCACAAAGTACCGACGAGTTTATTTTCCTTTGTTAACAATTTGTTCAATGCCGTTATGGACAATGAAACTGGAAAAGAGCATTAAGATCTTTCAAACTGAGTAAAGTTTAACCAGTTTTAATACCAAAAGCTTATCTCCCTCGAGCAAGGACATCGATGGTAAACAGTTAGTGTAAACCCTCAGTCAACTTACTAACTATCGCAATGCACACAAAGCTTGAAAATGATCGCAGCCTCTATCCTCAACTCCTACATCTGCTGTCATTGAAGATCCAGCTCCTTCCAGAATTCATCATGGCACCCGGGACCGGGAGATACTATTTATACAATAAGAGGTTAATGGAATTTTCATGAGCATTACTAGTTACTACCTTGTATATATAGAAAGAGACTAATGATTGAAGACTTTTTATCTTAAAACAAAACAAGCTTGATCCTTGAAGATGGATAAGATGGTACCTCATAATATAAAGTCTTTTTTAGATAAATTTCTTCAAAAGTACCTCCAAAAGAAATAAAAAAAATCAAAAAAAAATTTTCTGTAAGCTAAAAGTATCTTATGCATGAATTCAAAATAAGATTTTGAAAAAGTTAATAAAAGAAAACTTCTATAAATTAGTTTTATGTTACTTATGGAAAAATTTATTTCATTTTTCCTTCATCTTTAATTATCCAAGAAATGCTTATAAAGAAATTTGCTCAAATAAGTCCATAATCTAAATAACAAAATTAGCAAAATGATACATGTGAGTACATGACTCCAATACGACCACAGAACATTTCCGAGGGAGATAAGTGGAACTTAATGGCATCATCATATTCTATTTTCTAATGAAATCATGATAAGTTAAAATCCCTATACCTATTACTCATTCTCATCGTTGACTTTCTCCGTACAATTTCGAATCAAAAAGCCAGCCTAGTTGACTAGTTCTATAAAATTGACTATCTTCTCATCATATTTTGATGGAAAAAATTGACTATCTGATTATACCAACGTAGAACCTATTGACCCCCGTGCACACAAGCATACTTAAAAACTTGTAATTGTTTCAAATTTAACTCATTAACACTGTACTTTGTGAGCATTACTGTGCTCATGAGTACAAGAAAACACCATTTATCTAAAAGCAAACTTCGGATCACAGGATAACTAAGAAAAGGGTTCAAACCTCAGCGTGCACCAAATATCTCTTGCGGCGGATCATAGATACTTGAATCAGGAAAAATCTCCTCGAAATCCTGTTTCACTTTGTTTCTCAAAAGAGGATGTGGCAGGAGCCCTTTCAACAAAATTCTGAACGGCAACTCCTCTGGTGGATCCGGAGAATTCTTCATGTCCTCATATATGTTCATCGCATCCGCGGGAGATCCATAGTTCAAGAAGCCCCTTATGACTTCAGTATAAGTCTGAGAATCAGGGAACAGATTTTCCTTTCTCATGCTTTCCCAAATTTGCAATACTTCATCCATTTTTTTAGACCTTGCCAATGAAATGATCAAGTCCTTATAGAGGTATGCATCAGGCTTGTACCAATCTTGCTTTTGCATCACCTTAAACATCTGAAAAATTCATCAAGTTAGTAACTTATAAGATAAATACTACAAGTAGAGTGACAATAATGTCATAATGACAATAACAAAGGTTATGACTAATGGTTCGAATGAGTCTATAAGCAATCATAGAAGAGAAAAATAAATTAATAAATAAATATCTTTATAAGTTAAAATTAGTTATATATAAATTAATTTGTAGAAGTTTTTTTCTTGTTACTTTTTAAAAAAATTTATTTTTAACATAAACGAGTTTTGATATGTTAAAAAGCTTATTTTAGTTTTCTTTCTTATTTTTCCTTCTCTTACAGGTATTTCTCAGTAAGTTTATCTAAACATGTCCTAAGAAGCATTACGACAAACAGGTTACGGGTGAATATTAATAACACAAGAATTTAAAATGTAAGAGGATTAGAAGAGTGAAAACCATGAGAGCGAGAGAAACTTGTTCCTGGCGCTCAAGTTCAGTGAGAACAGAAATCATGTCCATCTTCAAGAGTCTGAGAACGTGGGTTTTGATGAACTTGTGAAGCTTATCCTCGTCGTCCTTAAACCTCTTCAACCCAATTATCACAAAGAGCGCTTCTTTGCCAATGAGCTTCTTTCCTCTCCAAAGGGGCCCTCTGGGTCTTCCGTCGTGGTAGTGCCTCAACCACGACGCCGTTTTGAACCAATTGCTTTCGGACACTGCAACCAAGGGCATTGAAGTTGAAGCGTCTTTGATGGGTTTGCGACTTCTCGTAAACTCTCCCACTATTACTGAACCCAAATCACGGATTTTAAATTTATTTGAGAAGGAACGAAACGCCATCACACTGCTGCAATACCAACACAAATAAGGCACTGTTTGGATTGAAAATAGATATCCCGAATAGTTCTATACCAAGGAAATGAATTCACAGATAGACAGAGATCAAAGCTTTGCTTTGTAACTTGGTTTCGTTTGGACGGGAAAAGAAGGGTAATTCTCCGGCTCATGTGGTTTGGGCCCAAAGTTGGGCCTAAAGCCTTTTTTAATGTTCTACTATTTTTTTTATCAATAATGTTCTCCTTTGATCACCAACTGCAAAATAGAAAATACAAGAGCACTATCTTTTTTTGGAAATACAAAAGTACTATTAAAACTCAAGTAGAGATTCCTATTAAAAAAAAATGTAGAGAATCATTAGAACTATGATAATTTATCCTCTGTGACATTCCAGTGTTATTACAATGTTGTAATACAAACATTGTTGCGGAAATGAAACAATAATTAGAGAAGAGATAAAAAAACACTGCTTTATTTATTTATTTATTTAGAGAGAAATGGCTTTTTTTTTTCTGTCAAGGTGGAAATGAGAGAGAACTTCTGATTTCCAAAGCAAGAGACCTGATCAGATGCAGGAGGTAGTGAGAAGCAAGTAAAATGAAGAAACCTAATCATGGGTTCTCCACTCCTCAGTGCAAGAAGATGTCATAATAATATTTGATATTTGATATACACAACAAAATTTGAATGATAGAATTTGCAGGCAAATACATCCTGATGAAGCTTCCTCCTACATGGATCCTTGATTCCTTAACTGATTAACATGATCCACTTAGAGGCATGGAAAATTGATATTAACGAGTAAAGGCATAGAGTACAAGAAAAACATAGATAAGCAACGCAGTGGGAACGAGAACAAGCAATGGAGCCACGGCAGCGTAAGTATGAGGACTCCCACAAGCCAAAGTTCCCAACTTGATCTGAACCAAATCCACAAGAGCCATCACCAAGAAGCCGCACCCGAAAACCGACCCAAAGGCCGAAACCAGAGTCCCCAACCTCAAAACGACCGTGTTAATTTTGGCGACACTGTGGAACCACGTGTTGATGCTGGCGCTGTCGTTTCCCAGAACGAGGCCGTCGTCGTCGACGTCCTTGCTGATGTTGATGACGTTTTTGAGGGCCAAGGCGATGAGGCTGGAGAAGAGGAAGGAGCTGAAGGAGTAGACGTGGTAGGCGATGAGGCCCTCCGAGATGGAGGTGGCGGCGGCGCAGGCAGCGTCGTCGCCGATGAGCGTGTTGGTGGTGCTGGTGGTGGTGATGCCGAGGAAGAGGGCTAAGGTGAAGAGCGAGTTCACGTTCACGATGCCGTCTAGGGCCATTATGTGAATTCTGGTCGTCGATGCTTTGCGCCGTGACACGTCAGACATATCCGCCGATGAAGGAAAACCCAAGAAAGAAAGCATGTTCTTGTATTATGTATACTATGTAGTATAGAATACGATGATGCGCTTTTCTTTGCTCACCCCATCTATTTCTATTGCTTGCAAGCAACAATAGAACTGTGTTCAAAGTGGCGTACAAGCTTACGTTTCGAACCAAACACACTTTACTTTTCTCCTTCTCTCAACAAAAATGGTGTAAACAGAAATCAAGTTCAAAAATTAAAAACGCCTACAAGTTTCGCCGTTGCCGGGGATCGAACCCGGGTCACCCGCGTGACAGGCGGGAATACTTACCACTATACTACAACGACAACTGATGCTAAAATATTTGTCTTAATTTTAAAATAAATATAAATCATGTACAAATATTTTTTTTCTCATTTTTTATAATATTACATTAAAGTGTTTTTTTTTTCAATCTTTTTAACAATAACTTTTTTTTTTTAAAACATATCAAGTTAAATAATTAATAAATTTCCATGTTTAAAACAATGTGTTAAAACATTACATAGCGAATTATATATGCTCACAATACAGTATGTCAGTATATAGTTTTCACCATACTTTTTCAAATTCTAATAAATATATTTGAACACTCACCATAGATTGATTCTTTTTTCAGTTTTATATTTTGATGCAATTAATAAATACTAGGATTAATTATACCTTATCGTTTTGTTATTTAAATCATTTGTATCTGTCATGTATCAATATTATTTCCTGATATGTAATTTTCTATTTAAAGAATTTTAAATTTTTTAATAAGATATTTATCTTACTTGAAATAAATAGGCTATATTATACTTTTAGTTATTTGTCTTAATTTTGAGATTCATTTTGATCCTTTATCTTCTAAAATATTCATTTTAATTTTTTATCTTCTAAATTTGAATCTATTTAGTTCTTTTAAATCATTATTTTTAATTTTAAGAGAAGACTTTAAATATTTTGCTAACTGATTCAAGACTTAAAATATTACTTATTAGATTCATCTATATTATATAAATAACTCCAAAAAGTGAAAAAACAATTTTAAAAACTTAATTTCATATTATTTTAATTATTTATGAGATATATTTATCATATAATTTTCACTATATTTATAAAAAAAAAAAATTAGATTCAATAGTTAATAGGTGAATTTAATGAGACAAGTTTTAAGTTTTGAATTTGTTAACCAAAAATTCAAAATTGTCTCTCAAAATTAAAAGTAATTATTGTTCCAAAAAGATAAATAGATTCAAATTTGGGAAATAAATGAACAAAATAAACAATTAAAATGAGTTTAAAAAATAAAATAAAGAACAAAAATATAATTTAACTAAATAAATATAAATCATGTACAAATATTAATTTTGTTTTCCTCATATTTGTTACAAATGTACGTTAAATATATTAGTTTTTTTTTCAATCTTTTCCATAACTTCTTAAAAAAATTATCAACTTATAATGTTGAAAACAATATGTTAACATTCCTTAGCTAATTGATATATGCTGACAATCCAGCAAATAATAGTTTTAACCTTACTTTTTCAAATTCTAATAGATATTTGAATACTAATGATCAACGTAAACAATTCAGATTATCCCAAAAGCAACAGGTTGTTAACAATGTGATACAACAAAGACAGTGAGAATCAAATCAATATTTAACATTTCACACCATTATATCGTGTGCACCAAGTCTGAAACAGATCCAGCACAAAGCTTATTTAAAAGCACACTTTTAGCTATAACCAAGCTCATTAAAGAGACTCCTAACACTATGCTTGACGAATCCTTATTCATCCATCAAGTGTGTTCATAATCTCAACTATGAGAAATTCTAACAACTATTAGTTAAAACTTATTAGAAATTAAAACACAAAATTTGATGATCGTAAAGTTGCTTCTCCATTCTTATCCTGCAAAATCTGTATCCTATTAATTCTCCGGTGCACCAAGCTAGAAAAACAACCGCTGTACAATAATGACTGTCAGAGAAATCATCACAAACCATTATAAAAATTTTAAAAATTAATATTTATATTCACGAACAGTTATGGTGGTATCAATCCACAGCTGGTTCCTTTTCCTGGCAAACAGAAAGTCCAGGTTCATTTAATACGAAGATTATCTATAAACATTACACAGCTTTTTTTACTTACTAACAAGGCAAAATACGAAAAAAGTAACAAAACAGAGGAATCTTTTGGCAAGGTCGAGAATATCAGTATAATTTTAATGGTTTCCATATTTAAAGATCCTAACAGTTTTTTTCCCCACACCTTTTGTGTCTTATGGTGAGTGCAGTGTTGAAAGAAAAGCCGCCAGTGATAAATGTTTAGGTCACAATACACACGTAGCAATGTTAAAGAACCAGTGAATATTGTTGAAGGAGTAATAACGAGTGGAGTCCCTATTTAATTTGTAAAGTAGAGACCACAAGACAAATAAAAGAATGGATAAAGGGAGTGCAATGAATGAAATATAATGAGCGATGGTTTACAGGATATGCTTCTTTAATTTGCAATTTCTCATTGCACCTAAGTTCGTAGACATGGGATAAATAATTAATGTCCTGTCAAAAATCACTAACCTGCTGTAACCCAGAAAAGAAAACATCTAACCTCCAGGATCAAATTATTTTCAGTTCAGTATATGTTCTGTTCTGCTAGTGTGTGACACTTTAATGTATGTGTTTCACATATCCCATAACACGTACAGAAAGCTCGCACTTACACCAATTTCTGATCTAGATATACATGATGCCTAGCACTGCAACGATTCCAGGCTTCCAATAACATCCACGACGAAGTTAGGTTGAATCCATTAGGTGTTCTGAGTTCTTATCTCTGAGCTTCAATTATTAGCACAGCAATTTCTTAAAAATAATTAACATTGTCTTTGATCACAGGAACATGAGCAGACCACAACTCAGGACAAAACTAAATTATAAATTCCAATTTCATAGTCTGCTAGAATTGTATCCCATCCCCAGCACTTAAGTTATACCCAAGTTTGCCATCTCAAGATGGATCATCTTTTTCGCTCAAAATTGATGCCTTTTGGAATCTCAATTTATCAATCTCCCTCCCTAGATAATCTAAAGTTGTGTCTGTAACATGGTTAGGAGTGCATCCCGCATCCAGCATCATTTTCAAGAACTTATAAGCCTCCTTCAATCGCCCTGCCTTACTGTGAACTTCAATTAATGTATTATAAGTGACAACATCAGGATTTATCCCACTGCTCCTCATTTGCTCAAAGAGCTTGTTCACCTCATCAATTCGGCCTGCCTTCCCCAAAGCATTGATGAGAGTGTTATACATAACTATGTCAAGATAACCACCCTGCTTCAGTAGCCTATCAAGAACAGCACTGGCTAGATCTGCTCTTCCCATCTTTCCTAAACCTTGAATGATCATATTGTATGTGGCTATATCAGCTGGGCAAAACTTCTCTCCCATTTCAGTTAGAATAGCCCAAGCCTCAGTGAAATAGCCCTTTTTGACAAATGAGCTCATGATAGAATTATAAGTATAACTCACAGGATCCACACCTGCATCACTGAAAATCTCAAACAGTTTGCAAGCCAAGCTCAACTTTCCCTTGGCCAAAAATATAGACAAGAAAGTATTCATCATATCAACATCAAAAGAATCCGACCCTTTTTCTTGAACTCTTTGTCCACGAGAAGGAGTAAACAGCTGGGAAGAATGGCCAGCGGAGCTCACTTGATTGGCCAATTTATCCATGTATGGCGATGATGACCACTCGTCAATTTCATTGCTGGAAGTTTCCTCCCCATCATTAATGTTGGCGGTATCCTGGGGACCACTCATGAAGCTCATGATGTCACTAAAATCTCCTTTGGCAGGGAACAAGGGTGAGTAATCCTTTTTCTTGCTAGGTGGGTTCTTCATAGAAGCTTCCATTCCAGCTTTCCATTTGAGAACAGAGAGTACCAAATTACCTTCCCTGATATGCTTCATAAGGCGGTCCGTCCAATCCCAGCGACCGTGTCTATGAATGCTAATCAAGAGGGATGTTATAGTAACAAGGTCAACAACAAAACCTCTGCTTTCCATTTCTTCCACCAACTGCAGCGCCTCCTCTAATTGACCCTCCCTACAAAGTTGCAACACAACAATGCTGTAAGTAATCCCATCCACAAATTGGCCCTTCTTCTTGAGGTCACAAAACATAGTATACGCCGCTTCCGCCCTGCCATTCCTAAGCAATCCATGAATGAGAATATTATAAGTCCAGGATGACGGCTTCACCCCTTCTTGAACCATTTTCTCAAACAGCTGACAGGCTTCTGTAACCTTAGTGGCCTTAAAATGTCCATCCAGCAGAGAGTTATAAACAACCGTTTCCGGCCTGAACCCATTGCTCTGCATATGGTTAAAAACCCTGGTGGCATCATCTAATCTGTAAGTCTTGGAGCACGCCTGAATAAGGTTCGTGTAAGTGAAGCGATCGGGTTGATGAGGCGAGCCATTCAGCTCCTCCCACACGACGAGCGCATCATCCACCTTGCCAAGCCTGCAAAGCGCTGCAATGAGACTGTTGTAGGTGCACAAGTCAGGGGCAACCAACCCCTTAGCATCCTTCATCTCCTTGAAAAGCTCAAAGCAAGTAACCAAATCGCCCCAACAACCAAAAGCATGGATACACACATTGTAACCCCACGTGTCAAAGGAAAACCCTCTCTTCTCCCTCAACCTTTGGAACACTTGCTTGAACTCCACCCGCATGTCCGCTTTCCTAAGAGCAACCAATAATTGATTGCAGGCGATGGATTTCGAATCAACGGCGTGTGGGAGCTTGAAGAAGATGGAGAGGGCGAGGGAAAGTTGGTTTTTCGCGAGAAGAGCAGCGAGAAGCGAGTTGTAGACAGGGGTAGGGTCGAGGTGAAGGTGTTGCACGTAGTCTAGTAATTGGAGTGCTAAATTGAAGTTAGAGGAGAGGATGAAGGAGTGGAGGAGGAGATTGAGGGTGTGCGGGTCCAAAACGACGCCGTCTTGCGTCATGGAATGGAGGAGGGAGGGGATGTCGGAGAAGTTGCCGGCGCGGGAGAGGGCGCGGAGGATGAGGGAGTACGCGGCGGGGGAAGGATTGTGGTGGGAGCGAGACCACTCGAAGAAACGGAGCTTGTGCGAAGGGTGGAGCGTAGGGTTGGAAAGGATTTTGAGAATTAGGGTTTGGTTGAGTCCAACGGCGAGGGTGCGAGGGAGGTTGAGAGTTGCAGAGTGAGAGTGAGATAGCGTGTTGGTGATGGAAGCCGCCACCAACACCTCTCCCAATTGCTTCCATTGCCGCATTCCGCAAGGAAGCAAAGTACTATCGATTGTTTTGGTTGCTTTATGATTAATCTTCCATGATAATGTGCATCAACAATCACGGTCCTAGAACCCTAATCGCACTAACTGAAAAACGGCGAAATCGAAACATGAGAGGTAAACTTGTTGCGATTGTGAATGGTCTGTGAAACCATCGCAGCTTCTTCGTCTTCATACGTCGCGTCGTTCAACCACGGAAATTCCAGATTGCCGTTTCGGTGTTACTCGGTTGCCGTTCCGGTGGATAGATACGGCATACGGGTATACTGGACACTGGTCAAACACGACTTTTACACTTGTTAAAAGTTAATATACAAACAATAATTTAATGCAATTATACAATTTTTTGTACTTCAAAATTTTAGTATAATTATTTTCTTTTTTAAATTATTATAATTATGCAACTTTTACACCAAATTTTAATTTTTAAAATTATATAATTTTAGTCTCATTTATTAACAATTTAATAATTTTAAAATTATATAATTATTGACATATTTAAGTTATAAAAAATGACTTAATTGATATCATTAATAATATAATAAAGAAAAGAATTATAGTGTTTACAAAGTTTAAATTTCAGTTGTCATTACTATATTGGTGGTTTCTAGTGTGAACTAGTTTATCAAATGGTATATGGTGTACCACTTTTATTTATCATTAGATGCATCTAATCCTATTAGCATATTATATATCTTGTTACACAAGATCTAATTCTTCCACTATTACCGCACTGTTTTCCTCCAAACTTTTTACTAAAATAATATTTTTTTTTAAAATTACCCAAAAAATATCTGTTCTAATTTATTTACACAACTAGCACGTTTTATTGTTCACGTTTAGAATGGGTCGTTCCTAATGAAAAAATAATACACGACGAATGAATCATAACAGCCCGTTCTAGATTCAAAAATGACACATGACCAGTTGAACCAGAACGGACCGTTTTGGCCAAATGGGTCGACATATGGAACAACAGGCGTGAGCACACATTGATGGGTCATCCAATGCAAGGCCCGTTGTTTCACACACGAGAATACATGGAATGGTACATGGCCAATTCCATCTATTTTTTATCTGTGCTACGACTACTACAATGCAAGTTCCGACATGAAGATTATTGGCTAATAATGACAAGCCTAGATAACCTGCAGATCACACTAGGAAGACATGTCCAAATAATGTATAATTATAATAGTTTATAAGCGAAATAGTGCATTAAAAGTAAAAATGCATAGCATTAAAATTCATATTACATTGATAAAGAGACATAGTGTATTAAATTTTATTGTTAGTTAGAACTTTTTACCATTATAATTCTCCATGGATAACCCTTGCTGAAATGTTTGGTCGCCTTTAAGATGAACAACTATTATCACAAATCAACATAAGATTTTTTGACATACTTAATTTCCACTAGTACACTTTTTGGGAAACTTCTTGAATGACCACCCATTCGTAAATCACTACAAGTTAAACACATTTAATTGTGTATTTCTTAATTGATGAGGCATTGACAAGTAGATACATCTTGTTAGTAAGTAAAAAACGATAACATTAAGATAGAGTGAATTATATAAGTTTTTTAATCTCCGTAATGGTGTCCAGTTCTACAACGAGGGCAACGTTTGTTACGACCTGAATTACGCCGTAAAGGTTGTTGCTCAGAAGGATTTGGTTCATTATCAAGCACTAGTTGTTGAAATGCTGTTGAATAACTACCAGGTTCATTAGCGAATTTCGGTTGATAAAGAGATTGCATGTATGATTGTACTGAAGATGGAGTTCTAAAATCTACTCCAAATAAATTTGTAAAAAAATTCTCTGAAGTTGTTGTAAACAATTGCCTTCTATCAATTATGTTTTCTTGTAGGTGATGTTGTGTGGAGGATTTGATACATGCTGATGAGTCTCTTCATACGATCGCATGAAAGTTGCACCAGTTTCAAATGTTGTGAAAGTCCTTCGTCGTTGATGGGTCCTTGGATCTTGTAGTAGTCGTGGCACGATAGGAAATAGATGGAATTGGTCATGTACCATTCAATGTATTCTCGTGTGTGAAATAATGGACCTTGTATTGGATGACCCGTCAATTGTGTTCACGTCTATTGTTCCATATGTCGACCCATCTGGCCAGAACAGCCTGTTCCGAATTCAGAACGGCCCATTCTAGTTCAATTGGTCATGTGTTATTTTTGAATCTGGAACGAATTGTTCTGATCCATTCGTCGTGTGTTATTTTTTCATCTGGAACGGCCCGTTCTTAACGTGAACAGTAAAGCATGCTAGTTGTGTAAATAAATTGAAACAGATGTTTTTTGGGTAATTTTTTTAAAAAAATATTATTTCAGAAAAAATTCGAAAAAAAACATTAGAGAAATTAAATCTTGTGTGACAGAACGTATAATATGCTAATAGGATTAGATGCATCTAATGATAAATAAAAGTGGTACACCATACACCATTTGATAACTAGTCCACTCTAGAAACCACCTACTATATTATGAACAAGTGAAGTTATCTGGATAAAAACTAAGAATAGAATTTGTGAAACTATTGAAATGTAGTCTACCTGCACCAACAACATGTCCAAATTCAGAAACATCCCTATGAGGGTGACCGATACTTTGAACTAGTGTGTAGCAATCCATTAGAGAAGTAACTAATTTCACTCCAAACTCTCCTATCCATTTGACCGGTTCCTTCTCCCTGGTGGGGTTTGAGTAGGAAAGGGAGATTACATATTCTGCCTCTCAACAAAGATCCCATATGGTCCTAAGAAAATCCCGATCTTCAAAACCTTTGACCCTCGGAACTGGGAAAAGAGCAACATCTATATTAATTTATCTATAAATATATTATTCATATTATTCATATTAATTTATCAATAATATTATAATACTAATAATATACATAAATTTTCATTTATATATTTAGTAATAATAGATATATATTATTCAATGAAGTTAGCAGAAAACACATAGAAGGGGGGTTGAATATGTGTGCGTGTGAACAAAGGTATTTTTATAAACATCTTTGCAATAGTAATATTCTTCGTCCAATGTACTTTTAGATGTCAGACGGTTATGCAGAATTTACTTAACACAAACTCATTGCATCTGAAAGATTTTATCATCTACTAGGAAAATGGTTTATAATAATAATTAAAGTTCTTGCATTTTCCTTTTTGAAGATAGTTTCATTTAAGGATAATGAGTAGATAAAACTTTTCAGTATGATATGTTTGTTAAACAAAATTTGCGTCTTCGTCTGAAAAATAGTTTTAATGAGGAATAGACAGTAGACAAAGATTTTTAATATGATTTATCAATTAAGAAGAGTTTGCATCTGAAATATAAATAAAACAATGTAATCATTTTATACTGGTTCACTCAACTGAGTTACATCTAGTCTCCTTTAACTAAAGAATTCCACTAGATATGAAATGAAAAACATTGACTATTATTGTCCACTCTTGGACCTGAGTATTCTTGACCACTCTTGGCCCTGAGTATTCTATGAAATTTTTATATTTTAATATTAAATTTTATTAAAATTAAATATTTGTTAACTTTTAATAGTTTGAAAATTTTAACAACATATAATATTGGATAATAAAATTGAAGATGAGAGAGAGAAATAAAGAAAAAAGGAAAAATAGAAAAAAAAATCTTGTAAAATCTCAAAGATTTTTGTAAAATTCTTAAATAAGTAAATTATATGTAAATTCTATTTAAAAAGGTCATACAAAATCCATCTTTCAAAACAATTCGTTGAAATTTCTATGTTTCATAATATAAATTGACTTTTTTAAGTGGAAAAAATACTTAATTGAATATGACTAGATTTTGATGCATGTTTTTGAAAAAAATTATAATTGTTTGTAACACTTTTATTTTGAACTTTAATCGTATTCAAAATATTTTATTATTAAATTTTATGAGATAAGTTTCAAGTTTTAAATCATTTAAAAATGATTTTAAAAGATTAATTTAACTTAAATTTAAAAGATAAATGATAAAAATGAATATTTTAAAAGTTAAAATATCAAAATAAATAAAAGAAACACAAGATAAAGAATCAAAATATAATTTAGAAAAAAATCAAAAATCAAAAAATTTAATGATCTTAAACCTTACATAGAAAAAATGTATTTCATGATTAATTTTTAATAAATTTTAATCGATAAAAGATATTGTATTAAAATGAATGTAAAAGTAGGTTGTTAACTTTTTTATATATAGAAATATTAAGTTTATAATTTAATGGTACTGCTAAAACTTTATAAGAAAAAAAGTAGCAAAATTATATATATATATATATATAT